CAACGATCAGTTACATTTTTATTATATGTATAAATTAAGACATAAGACTCCTATCTTAATAAGGAAATATTTAAAAAAAATTATTGCGCTAAAACAAGCAGAGGCGCACGATTAAATAAAACTATTTCGAAGCAGAAAAAATTATCATGATACAACGCTTGAGCAATAAAACAATTACTTGGACAAATCCCTAAATGTCTCTGTTTCGGCTTAGCAATGACACTCGCGTCGCTTTTCCCGCCAACTCCATTGTCTGCAAATGGCCGCCGTTTACGGTTGCGTTCAGAAACCATGTTTGTAAATCCGCAAAGAATGTTTAAGACGTTGCGATGACAAGGAATTTTATTTTGCATAGTGAAAAGGAACAGTGGTTAAAAATAAACTGGACTCTACTTTTTACTTTATGTAAAGCACCCCCGTTTATGTCACAAAGAAGCCGATTGTAGGGGCCTCTGGGAGATGAATTTAAAACTTTCTGTTAGTTACTTAGAACCTGCGAAACAGTGAAAATACTTTTATTTCATCACGACTACTAACGATGGATACAGCGGCTATCTCCATTTTATGAGTCATTTAAAATAAGCTTAATGATATACAAAATGAATGATTGAATAAAGCGCGCAACGGTTTCATTAAAATTCAATAGGCTACCACAGGCTATATCAATGAATAGAAATAACCCAATTGCATCTAATTTATACTATATAAACACTTATCTCACTTTGTAAACTGACAATCTAGTCTTAAATAAATATTATAAATAAAAAGTGGCTATGCTAATAAAATTAAACACTTGTCGATTCTGGCATTAAAGTAATCTTTAAAAAACGGTTCACGGTTATTATGTTAATTAATAATTAAGAATGTGGTTTTCTTACTTTTAAATTAAAAGGCTTTACCAAAAAGGACCTACCAAGTAATGATAAACTTCGCTTCGGGTGAATAATGTCGATTATCTGTTAGATTAGTCTAGATAACTGGAAAATAGATTCATGTCGATGACCAGATTGACGTAGTTAATAATGCACTTGTCTCTTGCAGCGGGAGTTTGATTCCCAATACTGAAAAATATTGTGTGATAAATAATTACATTTATCTATTTGGTTACCTAGTACCCATATTACAATCTTTGTTTAGTTTAATTTATTTGTAATTTGTTGGTCAAGATAATCTTGTGTTAAAAACTATATAAATATTGATTTATTGGAACGGAGTACCTTATCGTGCTGATTTGCTTGAGGGCTGAGCGACTAGAACGAGAAAAGTGTAACAATGATAAATGTCTCCATAATACACCCTCACTTTTTAATTCTTATTTACAATTATTTATTTTTATAACTTATACACATTTACATATTATTGACCCCTGAACGTTTAAGAAGTTGTCACGAGTTTTCGTAATTTTTATTACGAATTTTAGTTTCTTAAAGTATTTTTTTTAAATAGCATCAGAAAGGATTTAATTTATTTAAAAAAAATGGTTAAGGGAAATGAAAATTATTTAATGCTAAAAGCGAATAAATAATAAATCTGGCATATCTTACCATAAGAATCTAAACGAATTAGTGGATACCCGAGCACGCCCTCCGTTTTTTGGGCAATAACCAAGTGACAAAATCAAAACGTTTCGGGTTATTAACGACACCTTGGTGTTACTGCATTTCTGATAATATCTACCAAATAATGCTGCGAGGCGAACGTGATTTGAATTCAAATTGTGAATAGCTCTCAATTTACACGCGTATCAAAATTTTAAAAAGATTTTTAGAGGGTAGTTATAACAAGCGAGTTTCGGATAGCTTATCGCGACTTCTAGAAACTCATCTCTTTTATTAAGAAGGGATCACATTGAACGATTTAATTATTTTCTATATGAAAAGTTGCCAAGCGAGCAGACGGTTCACCTGATGTTAAGTGAATACCGCCGCCCACGGACATATGCTACACCCGAGAGTTCCAGATGCGTTGACAACCTTTTGAAAATTGGGCTCTTGCCTTAATATTGCACCTTTATTCAGCTCTCACTTTAATTCTTTACTCCCTGTCGTTTGTCGTAGTGGTAGAAATGAGATGTCGTATTTATGTATTGTTTTAAATTTAAATCTTTATGCTGAGTGATTGCAGGTTTTCCTGTATGTAATGGGACGGGCAAACTCACTGGCAGATTTACAGTTAGCTTTCGTTTTGTGCGACAGACATCTGTTCGCGAATTTTGCATGCAAGTTGGGTTCTGTTCATGCAAATATCGTGTTATCCCTAAGAAACACGTGCGCAAGGCTAAGATTATATCTGTCAGTGATATATTACAGTTGCTTTAGACAGGATTGCGTGATTTAATTGGGATTGCTTAAAAAATTACGGATTACGTCCTATGGAGCTACATGGTCATTTACATTCACATACATGGTTCCATATTGTCATTTTGAATCTCTCTATTTGAATAAATATCCGTTTCGATTCAACCAACGTCATCGATAACAATGCAACCGTCACGAGCTTCACAAGCGTTGGATCGATCAGTGACAGTAAATCGAGCGGCCGCAATCGTTCGTCATCGTTTGACAAAAAGAGCGCGTCAAATATCGTCGGACATCGCAAAAGCGGGAAGCGTGCACCAAATAAAGCGACCGATAAAACGGCAATAAGACAATCGGCGACGTCGACTACTATTTTCGGAATAGACACCGGCCGTTCCGCCTGATTTTTTGCGATGCGGACAATAAAACTCTTCAATAATTCATAAGGCGCGGGTACGGGCGCATTCGCCTCACGTGCGGCCGATGCGAGCGCTCTGATAGTTCCACGCGGGCGAAAATAACGCCATTCCCACGATCGTAAAATCACGATGTTTTACATGGGCGCGTTACGTTCCTTTTTTTGGCGCGAAAGCCGTTTGACGTTAGTGCGCGATTATCTGTGCTTTTGCGCGGACAGCGTTTCTGACGGGAGTCTTTTCGCCACGATCGATTTGTGATTATTGAACATCTGATATGAGATGAAATGATACAATTTGCTATCGTGGTGAACCAGTCACGATTTCTATGTCGATGTAAATGAATAGAACCGCAATAAATCTGTCAAACGTCATTGTTAATAGACGTTCTCTTGGAAAAAAAATTGTAACGTCATAAATTTGTACATCCTTTGGTACCGGTTTGATGTGGTCGTGGATGATACTCATGGTCATCATTGTATCAAAAAAACACTTACTGTTGCAAATTGAAAATATTTCATTATTTTTTTTGAAACGGTAAGTTTAATCTTAAATAATATTATATCAGATATTGCGTATTCGAATTAAAACTTGTGTGTCAAACCGTTTGGCGGCTGCTCTGGTTGAGTATTAGACATTTTTTTTATTCAATAAACATTACTATAAAACCACAAGCATCCGGTGTCATCACGTAATTTTATCTTTAAAGTTCCATTCTTTTATCACGACGCCGCAGTGACGTCGCTTGGAGATGTAACGGTGTCTCCGCGAATTAAAATTGATTTAAGACTCGAGTCGAGATTGACACGGTAATGTTTCGAAAGCTTTACAGTGAGCGCCGAAGCCCATTTTGAATTGAGCGTGTTAACGCGTTAATGTGCGCGGTACTCGAACACTTTTGTTCGGAACTTCAACTGAAATAATTAACATGATTATTTATCGTCTCCTAAAATGACTAATAGGCTCTTGACAAATGATATCAGATGTGGTTGCTTGGCCGCTTATACTCGCAACTTAACCTTTCCGAATAAAAATCATTGAATATTCTTTTAGATTATGCACATTTAGGTTTAAGCACGAAGTACAGTAAAGTATTAACGTATATTACTGCTGTGCAAAGGCCTACTTCTCTGTTGAGGGTAGTCCACCAAGCAACCGCATTGCGGATTAGCAGACTTCGAAAAAAAAAAGATGCATCTTCGAAATATCTTTCTTTTAATGTGAAAAGTTGTTAACCGAGCAGGCGGTTCACCTGGTGTTAAGCGAACACCTCAAACCCAAAACCCAAGGGCTGCATATGCGTTGACAACCTTTAAAAGATTGGGCCTTGGTTACCTCACTGTCCAGACGAAACGCAGAAGTATAACACTTCTACTTCACGCCCGCCTTCTGCGACGTCGCGGTAATTCCCCGGACGGACCTGCCCATTCGTGCAACATCGTAAGCTTTGACGTGTCCTAGCAATATTGACGAGAGCACGACACGGATGGAGTGTAACGTAAACACAGTAACAAACTGTAGAGTTTCAGTAGTGTTTGATTTAATTTGGGTGTAACAACAGATTCGATGATTCCGTGGCGCAGTTGCCAAGGAATTCGGAAGGCTTCGGCGTCGGGGGTCGTGGGTTCGATCCCACATGGAACAACTATTTGTGTGACCCACAGATAGTTGTTTCGCATCTGGGTGTTTGTCCACGTGAAATGTAAGTTTGTAAAACGTCCTTAAAACACAGTATAATGTTATCCTAATGTAAGAGCAATGTTTTAAACAAAAGAAAGAAACAATAAATAAATAATATGGAACTGTTCTGTTCAACGTCGAAGACAGCTGCCTTACACCGAAAACAACACTCATTCGTAGACGGGATAACGGCAGTATTTTATCAATACTGCAAAATCATAACGGTAGCTTAGAGCGTCTTAGAAATATGCCCGAAGCCGCAATCAGCAAAATCCGGAAATATTTATCTGGGCTCGTTTAAACACAGAATTTGTGTCTGTTAAAAGCTGTCTACGGACTGAATAGACAACTTTTTAGATGTATATAAGCTTTTCGGTTCACCTGATGTTAAGTGAATACATATGCCCATGGACATATACAACACCTGGTGGGTTGCAAATGGCTTGCCAAGCAGTGCTTTTATTATGTTATTGCCCTGCAACAGGGTTTTGTAGGCAATAACATAATAAAACCAAATAAATTCAATGGCAATTTAAGCCAGTTTTATATTCATTACAATTACGTATCGAGCAGTTGATGATTAAGACAATGATAGAGAAAAGCATACCTTTGATAGGGCCGCCGAGAACCCAGCCTGACAGACACCGGTTTTCCTTTGTCCGTGGCTAGCTGCAATCCAAAAGTAAGGAATTAATAACTACACCTATTTGAAATTTTTACACGTGCCAGGAAACTAAGTTTACTAAAACGCTAGAAGGTAATTTACAGATTTAACAAAAATGGTGTAACGTTATGCGGAGGAAAGTATCTTATTATGATCCAAACTAATTTGTAGGTAGTAACACAATTCGTTCCTTACGTACTTTTACAAGATAGAATCTAAAAAAATTGTTGGTATGTGGGATTTTGCTTGCATTAGTACTAAGGAGACTCCGTTTCACTCTCGGCACATAAACAAATTAAATGCAATTTTAAATCAGAACAAATTCTTGGTGATTAAATAAAATTTTACATGATATATTTCTGCACATTCACCCTTGAGATAAACCTTATTTGCATAAGTTTACATTATTATATTAGATGCAAAATCAATTAAATCATAATTTTGATTAATTAATTTATCTAAAGCTGAAAATGAAAGAGCACTAGCAAAATTTAGCATTATGTCTTACTGAGCTGTTCAAAAATTTCTCTCTCTAAACATTAATATTATAACTCTGTTCAAGAAATCATCGAAAAATTGTAGTAAATTATTTACAATAAGACATGTTAAATATGTTTATATTGGCTCTACAATGTTTTATACTATCTAATGTAACCTTTTCCCGTTGTACATAGCGTTAATTATAAAACGTGACTAATTAAAATAACAGTTACGTTACTAACAAGATACAAAAGTATGTTGCAACAAAAAAATTCACTTGGACTAAGCTAGTCTTCGTCATTTTCTTAGTGGAACTGGACTAACTAGTTATAATAGTCCAGGAAACCTTATGTTTGTAGGTTCGTTGGACTGTTTCTAAAAGTATTTTACAAACGGTGAAAATTATAATTATTAATTATTTAAAAATAAAACACAATAAAGCGTGGGTGGCGGATGCATGTTGGTGCGTCATTTGAACATTACTGTCGTCACGAGGTGATTTACGTACGGTACTTACTTTGGACAATGCAAATTGTTATAGCGTATTTGGAGTGGAGAACGGAGTGAATAACGTAACGTTTTACTATTGGCGAATTTTTATTATACATTATGTTTAGTATCCGGCGATTAAATTGGGTCATCAGTCATCAGGCAATCAAATATCAGGCAGCAACTTACGCATAACAAAATGAATCAAGATCAACAAGCACTGCGATTTTATATATTCAATAAAAGAAATGTTTCTTGTCGTTTATGAGTTGTGAACATGTGTTACATTTTTTGTACATATATTAATTTTAGTTAAATACCAAATATTCATTAATAATAATCGGTGTGTAAATCGCACAATGAAAGCATACGAGGCATACATAATACGAGTAAAACATACATAAGGATCGCAATGTGAGATGGATTACGTATTAAATGTACAATAAATTACGCTGCTGGAGGCAATCTTTAAAAGAGAACCAAATACCGACGGATCTTGGCAAAATGTTAAGGCAATTACCATATTTAATAACTGGTATATCATCACGATAAGAACATAAAATTGCTAAAACAAAAACTTTAAATATCTGACTGGTCACTTCGTAACAAATTAAGTATGAAGTTGACAAATTATCAAAAAATATTTTTTGATCAAAATAATAATGTACAATACTAAATTCTCACTCTACTGCATAATTATTATACGTTGTTTGTATAGATAAGATATACGGCATCTATTATATCTAAAACTCTAGTAAGGGTAGTGCATCGGAAGCAAATGTGAAGCTTAAACTAACCATAAGCCGATGTAAATCCTCACTATGAAGATCAAATGTATAATTTATTTAAGAATTACATTAAAATATCACATTCAAGAATGTAATAAAAATTAGTTTGTTATCCCTTAAAAACTTTTTGATATTCACGACGTTGCATGCTACCTCCATCAGCATACACAACTGGTTACTATGACAACGACGTAGTGGTCTCAACTACACTGTACAGGTGAATTATTAGACATCAATTAACATAATCGCCGTCTACTCACCCTCATCCAGCGAGCGGTACCCTAAACAGATTATATAAAAGCTAAATATACATAATAACCCCTAAACATTGGTATGTATAACAGTATAAATAAATTGGACTTATAACTTTGTAAGCAATAGAACAATACAAAGTTAATATTAATTTATGAACATATTTCCAATAAAATACTGCATAGTTCCAAAACAAGCGATAAAAGCTTATAAAGTTAACTAATAATTAAAATGTGTCACGATAAAACATTCATTGAAACACGCTTATAAAATTTTATTAACTAGAAAGGTATAAAGTGATTCAAAAATATACATTAACTATAGACTATAAAGATAACAGGCATTGAACATGTGAAATAGCTGGGACTAATATTATGTAATCACACCATATTAAGCTGTATTTAATAAAACATTAAATAAAAATACTAAAACTTATGTCTATCACACGAGAAACTTGTCGAATTGAACATTTCATAATTACAAATATCAAAACTCCAAGAATAATATCAAAACTCCATATATGTATAAAATAGTTACTTTGACAAGTTATGGTAGATACGCCTTATAAGTAACTAATATTTAATACCTAAAATTTTGTGTCTTAATCTTGAATAGCATAGCTTTTATCGATGAAACTCTATTATGTCGCACTCAATGGGATACTAGCGGAGAGCACTTAATGAAAATTGTAAGGTGTAACGAAACGTAAACTCATCATGGCGCCGATAATGGCGGCAACAAAGCGCGCGAAAACCTCGAGCTCACTTCCGCCGGTAATGGTGAATTGAGGCGCGAAATTAAAGTGACTTGTGCCCTTTATATGGCATGTTTCATTTTTTTTTTCATCTATTTATGCTTACAAGGAGCTTAGAAGGATTTAAATGTATAAAGCCTACTATCGAATAAATATTCAACAATAGAAATAATAAACCAATAAATATATTAAATAATTCCTCACTTATACAATTATGAGCGTTTAATATGTATCCATTTTACAAACAATATTATTTAAAATGCTTCGTTACCGTATAGTTACTAACAGATAAGATAGCATCGTCTACATATCTTATCTTTCTTATCCTTTAAACGAGCAATTCTTGTATATATATATATATATATATATATATATATATAATTGGAATCTCGGAAATGGCTCCAGCGATTTTCATGAAATTTAGTATGTGCGTAGATTTGGGGGCGAAAAATCGATCTGACTAGGTTTCATTTTTAGAAAATGTCCTTTTATCCCTGTTTTCAGGGAATGAAAAATATAATTCGAATATGACGGTAAATTTCGCCGCAGGGAAAATGTCATAATAGCTCGGTCGGTAATCGGGCGGCCCCAAAACAGACGGCCGTGGTTCGCGTCACGATCATTTACACTTTTTTTTTACTTTTTTTCGATTTCAGATCATTGCTTTCTTTATTTTAAATTTTTTGTCGATTTGTTATTTTGTTATTTTTTTCCCTTTTTTTTAAAGTTCTTTCTTTTGTGAAAAACATCAGGACATATTTTCTTATTATTACGTCGGTAAGATCGATACATATTATGCATATTTCATTACTTAGTAATTTGTATCTAAATGTAATTTCCAAAATACACGATTTACCAAAAAAAAAAAGGTCCTCCGGGTACTTTTACTGATATACGGTTTTGAATGTATAAAACCTACTATCAAGTAAATTATCCAACAATAGAAATATTAAACCAATAAATATATTATATAATTGCTCATTTACATAATTATACCCGTTTAATAGTTTTAGTTACTAATATTACCGAAAGATAGCATCGTATTCATATCTCGCTTTTCTCTATCTGTTTCAATCTTTCAGAATTCTCATTTATCTTAAATCATCATAATTTATTCACAACACTTACAATTTCGACAGGGCGAGTATTCGTTGACGTCGACGGCGTCCGGGGTCTTCGCGACGAAGCAGGAGCCCACAGGGTCGCGTTGGTTCAGCTTCGCGGACACGAAGGACACGTACCGAGGTGCGCACGCCTGCAGACAAGCGGAGAAACAAAGTTGAACATTAGCCTCGTACTTGTACATTAATGTGGTCACAGGCCGAGGCAAGGTGGCGACGACCTGTACATATGCGGGAAGTCTATGGTTGCTCAGGATCGTGCTTCGTGACAATATTTGGCGAAGGCGTATGTGTAGCAGTGTTACAGTGGACAACAGACTGAAATGATGATGATGACGGTCGGGTCGGCGATATAGTTAAAGATCTTGGGTCAAATCTGGAGCAGAATAACAAAACCGAAATCGTGGCATAATGAGAGAGCGGATACCTTTAAATGGACATATTTCTTCTTAAATTGACTAGTCTCAGCTAATCAATGTTATGTATGAATGATGTGTTCACCTCTTTTATTATAAGTATTGACGTAAATTAACGCAATTTACTTTAGTATAATAGCCATCAGTATCAATAAATACGCACTAACAAGATTAACGGTGATATGAATATATTGTATATTTAAATCTTATACTTCATTTATGTTTTATTAAAATAATTATATAATATGTCAATTCTGATGCTGTTTAAGTTACGATCTCTTCTGAGTATTTGTAAATAATACTATTAATATCACAAATATTAACCACTACATAGTATAAAACAAAATCGTCCCGCTGTCTGTCTGTTCCTATGTATGCTTAGATCTTTAAAACTAGCAACGGATCTAGATGCCGTTTTTTTTAACTAAATATAGTGATTTAAGAGGAAGGTTAATTTGTATAATACATTGCACCCATGCGAAGCCCGGGGCGGGTCTCTAGTATACAATAAAAACAAAAGGAGAAACAAAAATGACGCCATAGAAGAATCTAGAACTAAACTAACACAGATGCAATTGCAATTAGTACACGTTCATCTAACAGATCGCAAAAGAGATAACAGACAAGAATCAAATTCGACGAAATCTATCATTCCGAATCTCGACGGCGTGTTACGTAGATCAAACCCTTTCATAGAGGCGTGATTTACTGCTGCAACATCCTTTGTACCTGCGGCATCGTTCACGGTACCATTCCGTGGAAATAAGCGTGCGTTACTTCCAGAAATAGCGCCGCGTAAATATTTCCGGTCGTATGAACTTGAGAAACGCCGTTCATCTGAGCTTTACGGTCGAAATGACGCGACGGGCTTATACTCGCTACTGTAACTTATATTTAGTTGATTATTAAGAATTACGCTCTCACGACCAGAAAGATAGGTGAAATAATGTGTTCGGAATCTAAAGTTTTTGCTCTAAAAAGTAATGGTCGAATCTTTTCTTTTAAACCGAGCATCGTTCTTCTCTCTTACTAGCAGGAAAGAATTTGAAAATAATTGTGTCAGAGTTTAAGCATTAATTATTTAATTGCATGTATGTATAAATACCCTAACACAGTGATCCTTCTGCTTTTCGAGTCAAAATAGCTTTTTTGATCTCGGTCGACCAGTTTGGCCACATTCACCACAAAATGGCTATAAAAACAGTGATCCTTATTTGCATGAACTACTTTACAGGAAAACGCAAAGACTATAGTAATAGTAGTTATCCGCAGCGAAGAACACTCTTTACTTAATTTTCACGTATCTTATAATAATGTCCATACCAATTTATATACGTGCACCCGTACCACTAGTGTGTAGTAATTAGTAATGTGAACTAACCAAAAACAACTACACGTGGCTAACTCCACCACGTCAATGTCAATAACGGACAAATGTATAAACTAAACGATATTAACGAGCGAGGCGTTAGAAAAACAACGCCATCTGGCGGGATCTGAATCCATAAATCATGTGTGATGAACTTGAAACATTAACAGAGCTTGAAATGAAGGCAATGTTCATTGGGTTCATCAATGTGCGTCCTGTGTTCAGATTTGGTACAAATAATTCAATGAGATTTAATTAGAAACCATCTCTCAATAACGATAACAATTTTATCGTTCGAAATTCTCTCAAGACTGCTCGTTTTTATCATTCAAATGGATCAAATTAAAAAAAAGAGACAGCATTTTTGTTTTCTTTTGTCCGTGAGAAGGTGGCAAGCGAGCTGGCGGTTCACCTGACGTTAAGTGATAACGCCGCCCATTGACATTTGTAACCCTTACGCCCGGTTTCTGAAACACTGATCATCGTAGATGTTACCGAATTAGCTGTCAAACGTCATTTGAGTTGGCAAAAGGATAGTTAAACTCTTTGAATTGATCATACTGATCATTAAGAAGATAATTCTGGTCAATTAAACCATCCTTTTGGCAACTAAAATGAAAATTTAAAAGCCATTTGACAGCTGATTAGTTGACATCTACGATGATCAGTGTTTCAGAAACGGGGCGTTAATGTTGCAGATGCTTTGCCACCTTTTGATAAAGTAGGGCCTGGCTACCTCACACGGGAAGAAACGCAGAAGTATAATACTTCTGCTCTTGTTCTGTCTTCGGTGAGATCGTGGTACTTCCCCGGAAGAACCTGTCCATTCGTGAAAGTTCTTTCAGTTCTGAAATTGTTGTTTCCCTGGATTCCAGTCTTATATTACGAATTAAGTAATTAGTAGAGGAGTTTTTGATTGAAAACAAGCTAAAATTAAAGAAAGTTGAATGATTATTATATACTAGCTTTTCGTCTGCGGCTTCGCTCGCGTTGAAGCCCTAAAATAAATATCTTTTTTTTAGTTTCGTGATAATCGGTTAAGTAGTTTTGGCGTGAAGGTGTGACAAACAAACTTAAATTCACATTTATAATATTAGTAGGGATATAAAGTTCAGTACGGTAAAACCATCGGATTATATCGCACATAAGTGAAAAGAAAAGTACAGAACAGTTTTGTACAAATATCGGCGTTCCTAAAAACTGAAAGTAGAACAATTCACTCGTAACATGAACCATTCCGGTAGCAGCGGTCGCTTCACGACCACTAACGGCCGATGGATTGCTGACGTCGTAAAATAATTGTAAACACGTCCACTACCAACTGCTGTTCTGCAATTAGTTACGCGTATTTATCGCTTTTTGTTGCGTTACATCAGTATCGATATAATGAACGTATCCACGAAATCCACATAAATGTGGTGTATTTGCCATTTTAGTGTTCACTAGTTCAAACTATGAAAGGAAAAATAATAAACAGGGACTGCACTGCGAATCTCACGAATCTCATATAATACACATCATTTCCAGCATGAAAAACATTACAACTATTGTTACATGCCAACGCAAAGACATGCCCTTCTCTCTAAATGAAATCTAATGGCATATAAGACAGTTCTCGGTAATCGTGTATTTCAAAAGATCTTAAAGTACAAATACCATTTCTATACGAGCTAAGATACTACGCGAAGGTAAGCTTGAAACAGTAGCATACTAAAATAAAAAAGTGTGTGTGTACTTATGTACGCACGTAAGAAGTTACACTTCTTTAGTGTAACAAAAGAAAAACAACTAAAAATGTTACCCCAGTGCCGGTACTCTTTGTTTATGAAAAACAGTAATAAAATGCAAATAACAAAAGACATAAAATGCAATTGATAACGGTTATAATTTGAAATTATAGGGAGTATAAATGTCGAAAAGTTGTAATAGGTTGCCACATTAATATCGTGGAGTTGATACCTTTGCAACCAACTTTATCATGTCGCTTTTTAGAGGATTGGTATGCGCGCGCTTCGTAAAAAATTTACTCTCATAATTTTTTCCAAACGCGCCAAAGACGGATAACTTCAAACAAAGGCTCCCTAAAATAGTATTGTCTAGAGTGTCTTTTTGTTATTACTAGGTATTACTCGAAGTCAGCCCTGTAGTCCCGAGCTTATAGAATAGGGCTAAGGTATCCCCTGCCTGTCGTAAAAGGCGACTAAAAGGGGACACGGATGGGCAGCAGCACGAAGTGGTCTCGTGTTGCCGTAAGAGGATGAGGGGATTGGAGAAGGTTTATCCTTCTCCGAGGCGTGCTTAGGCGTAGTACCGAGGGACACCGGTGCGTTCCATGGGAGATCCCAGAGTCCCTCCAAATGTACAGAAGGTGGCCACCGAGGGGGTTTTAGTGGGTAAGAACCCCACATAACCCTGTCATGTAAAGTGACAAGGTATCTTTTGAAGATTTCCCCCCCCCCCCCCATTCCAAAAAAAAAAAAAAAAAGGTATTACTAGAAGTAGGTCCCTTAATGCATACGGAAGATACGCAAGTTGCTTTGAAATAACCTCGATGCTCTTGAACCAAAGAGTCACGTTGTATTCACATGACTCATACATACATGAGTCAGTGTTAACGCAATCTTTGTGAAATGAACGGAAATCGTTAAAAACTTTACGAGAATTCATACTTCTTATGCCACAATCTCAGGGCTGACATTCGCCCGCGCAAATCGTTTCAATTCGCTTCGCCACAAATTCTTCTGTATCTTCGGAGGCAAACGATCAAACGTTTCACCTGATGGTAAGCGATCACCACCGCCCATGGACACTTGTGACATTGGTTGAGTCACCGATAATTGCTTTGCTCTAACTTTGAGGTAAGAGTGGGAGGGAGAAGTAAGTCTTTTTGAAGGTCCCTAAGTCGTATCGGTCCGGAAATATTGCTGGTGACAAGTTGTTCCACAAAACAGCTAACCAAGATAGGGTCTTTCATATCCAGATCATTAGATTTAAAAGGTTATCTTTTCAAAACAATTACAAAAATTTATGCCATTGTCACGCACCGAGTAGTCAAAACTTAAAAACTATACTGCGTCATTTGAATAAGGGCCCTCAGATCAGTATTCTTTTCGCTGCTTATAATTGAGGTCCTTCAATTCCCACGGAATCTAGCTATCCACTACTTGCTATGTTCATAAATTCCACAAGCGTTTAAAAATTATTATCAGATATAACACGTCACTTATGACTGCACAAACAAGTGTTCAAATCTTTTAGTAGCACCGTAAGGTAGACAAAATAAATAATGCTATCAAGTTTCTGAATTTGTTTTAGTCTCGCTTTGAATAGTTCAGTTAAGTTGTAACTT